TTGAAGTTACTTTTTCGCCACTTCCGCGATAATAAATGCTAGCAGGGTGTATGCAAATACATGATGCACACATACCTACCCACTCGAATTGCATTCGCTAGTATGAGTGGCTGTCTGTTGGATTTTTAGTTGTTCCTACCCTTTTACCACCCCATTATCTACCTTTTATTCACTCCTTCTTCTATCTCTCCCCCCCTCGCCTCTCCTTCATTCATTGTCCCAACTACTACATATTTAAGTTAGTGTTTGTGCTGTTGTGTATTGTAGTTGTAGCTGTCAATGATTTTGTTGCACTTGTTATGCTTTCTGTTTTTTGTTTTTTTTTTTTGCCAAATGCTAGGAAACGTAAGTCAGTCGACTCGCAAGGCAGCCGGTAAAGCCAAGTACGTTTCCGTTGCGAGTACTCGTAGAAGTTTCGTTAGCTAACAGTTGGCAGTTTAACTGTCTACAACTACTTACTAAAAGGTGAGGGAGGTAGCAGTTGTTTGTTTGTGTTGTTTTGCTGTCTTGGCTGTTCGATTTAGTGTCGAGTTTTGGGGTTAATAAGGCCAACAAGTCGAAAAGTTTGCTGCCACTAGTACTTGACTTGACTTGGCTGAGTGAATTTCGTGTAGGTATGTATGTAGGTGCAGGGTGTGCGTGCTGTGTACATATATATATATTTAGTGCTGTAATTTTCAAAGATACATATTTTGTTTTTGCTGTTGATTGCCTTATTATGCGATTGTTGTTTTTGTATTAGCTTGTTTTTGGTTTTTTGTTTGTTTTATATGTATATTTCGTTACCTTAATGTTATCAGAGCTTTCCTTGCCATTCAATAAGAGCTTTGCATTTGCGACTTGCACGGTTGCCTTGCCAATTGAACTGCACTCGTGACCCTTGCACTGGCATTGCGCATTTCAATGTAATACATACATACATATGTATATGCAGGTGTATATATGTATACATATGTATGTATATACAAATACATATGAACGTATGAAGATAAATATAATAAATATATGTAAGCTTTTTATTTATTTGATTTTTATTTACATTTGGCAATGCAAACAACTTTCGTTCGTCTGCAAATCGAATTTATTTGATTCAAGTTTACCTTTGCACTACTGTAAACCAGAATATTTAAGGTATTCATTAAACTTTTAGCATGCTGCGCTGGCCATCGATCTTTCTTGCTCTCCCACTAAGTACACACTCACACGTGTACATATGTACATATATGATTGTTAAATGCATTCGAATATTTTGCATCCTTAATATCCCAAAGTAAAAAATTTGAATTCATGTAAGATTAAAATTTAATTTTTGTGAAAGCAAATAAAAGTTTAAAAGCTCATAGAAAGTAATAGCAAAATATTTAAATTTTTAATGAATTTGCTATAAAATAAAAATTTTAAATGAGATTTTTATAACTTTTTTCTCTTTGTACCAGCAGGTGCCATACCAGCTACTTTCAGGGGATAGAATATGCTCGTGAACCCGCATGGCGTTAGGACGCCAAAATTTAATATAACTTTTTAACCCTTCGTCGGGCGCAACTGATCTGTGAGGCACAGCCAAAACATTTTTTTTTCGCCGTGCCCTTTTATACCGTTAACTTTGCTGACGCTCAGTAGCTGCCTCTTTTGAAGTGCTCTATACAGCAAAACCCCTCAGTTTTTGTTTGACTCCCAGAACGAGAAGTTATGCGGAATTTGATCTGAAAAGCTCATTACGCCCAAACTCGTCAAATGTATTAAATTTTTTGAATTATTTTTTTTAATTTTATTATTCATCTAAAAGTAGCTATTACGTACATGTCCCAGAGTTGAATCTTTATGGAATGTTTTACATTTTGATTTTTTAACTTTATTTTAAGATTTTTGTAGTAGCTGCTAAATTTGTGTAAAAAAAATGGATTTTTATGAAAATATTTACCTTTAATTCGTTTCAACATCCCTAAATGCCCTGCCAGTATTCCCCAGATATATAAACAATATAACTGTTTGTTTAGTATGTGTTTTTAAAAGTATGCCAGTTAAGCACATTGGCCCCGAAATTCACAGTCACCATATTGCGCCTGACGAAGGGTTAAATAGGTGAAATCCTATTCAAAAACCTCAAAAAATATTCCTATGGATTCATTTAAACCATTTCTGAGTGATGAGAGGTATCGCATGGCGCACAGTGGGCCAAAAAGGTTGCTTTGGACAAATTAATTTTGGGAGCCCAAATATGAACCGATTTCAAAATTCTTTTTTTTTAATAAAGGATAATGCAATTTCGCGTCGATCTACCCGTGGCGATTTTTTAAAAATCCTGTGGTTTTTACTTATTTATGTTCAAAAATGAAAGAAAAAAAATTACATTTGAATGCTTACACTTTTTTGCAAAATACTTGAAATTAATTTCAAATGTCTGCAATTATTTAAAAAATTATTCGTAAACATTTTTCCATAGGATAGATTTTATTAAAAAATTTATTTTATTTGTTATTTATACTTTTTTTTCTGTTCGAAAAACTCGAGTACAGCTGTACCGATATTTTTGAAATTTTAGGCATCAACTCCAGACTATTCAAGGCTGATAATAGATCAAGGCTGATCAAACGATTTCGATATATCAAGAGGGCGTGGCACCTATTTCAATAATTCCCATTTTTTCCATGAGTTTAGCGTTGATATTATATATCTCTATACCAAGTTGCAGCACTCTACGAGGAATATATCCAGAGATATGTTGTGTGAAAACTTAAGTTTGTATGGGAGGTGCCACGCCCCCTTGAGATATCGAAATTATTCTTCTTCTATTATCATCCTTTGAGGGTGAAGAGGCGAGGTCCAAAATTTCAAAAATATCGAGTTTTTCGATTAGAAAAAAACGGCTTTCAAAATATATATCAGTATAGATTGCAAATAAAATTTTTTTTAATTAAATGATTCCTATGGAAAAATTTTTATGAATGGTTTTTTAAATAATTGCAGGCATGCGAAATTAATTTCAAGTATTTTCCAAAAGATTGGAAGCATGCAAACGTAAAAATTTTGTTCTTTCATTTTTGAACATAAATAAATAAAAAACCAGAGCGATTTTAAAAAATCGACACGGATAGATCGACACGAAATTCAGCTAAAACAAGCATCTCAGAAGAAGAGGAGGGATGCCTTTTCAGGGAGAATGAAATTTAAAACGACGTGACTGAGAACAGTTTGTTGTTGCTATTGTTGACAGGCAAAAATTTCATTTAAAAATATGCCGACAATCAAAAGATTTCAAAACTACGTCTGGTTGCTACAGCCTCCAGAGTACACTAGAGATATGGAGAGAACACTTCTCACTGCTTGCTTTTGAAGGGCAACGCAAGTGGCGCGTTTAATGAAGAATACGCCGTTGTTATGTAAATGAACGATGCTTGGAATATACTGTTCCGTTGTTATAGTGGAGGGACATTTTTATTCGACTTTCCAGAATACTTGCCTGCAGTATTAAGACCGGTTTGGCAATTTTTGTCCACCTACTTTTTCCAGTGCGCCGAATATGCTGCGGTATGCACTGAACGACTGCTCTCTGATAGCACAAATCCGAGTCTTACCGTGAAACTCCTCCCTCTCTTTTATGATATCAGCCTGAGAATGTAAGCTTTTCTTTTGTTGTTACTCATGCGCACTGTCGTCCTTAGGCAGTAGTTTAACAATCGATTTCGATAGTTTCCATGTATTTTTAATTTAAATGACAATTTTATGCAACGAATTTAAAGATTTTAAAAATTTAAAAATTTTCTTTTTGATGCAGAAATGTTTGCAGAGAGAGTATCTAGATGCATTTCTTAATCAAAAATGAAATTTTGAAAAAGTATCGCTTGCTTCTTTTTGGCAGTTAGGGCTCAATATTATTGTTTTCGCTGGGATTTGGAAATACTTAAACTCCCAAATTACGAAAACTAAAGTACGTATGTAAACCATTTACATATAAGTATGTATATTTAATTAGAGCATTCCAGAAAACAGCTTTAAATCTCACAAAAAAAAAAACTCTTCTGTATTATTTTCAGGTTTCGATGGTGGCTTACGTCAATGGTTTCTCATGGAAATATTCGATCAACACACTGGCCAGCTGCAAGCAAATATCTCCTCAAAATATCCAGTATTGAGTGTAACCGGCCTAGATTCGGGTCGCCTCTTTCGTATATTTGTTTATGCAGTGAATTTGCGCGGACGCAGTGAAGCGGTGCAGGTGGAAGGTTATACGCTGAAAGCGGCCGAAAAGCAAACAGGTGAGTTATGTGAATGTGGATTATTATATAGATATAGTATGCTTGACACATTTAAGTGTTAAGAAAATAAGTGAGATCGTGAAATTGGTCGAAATGAAGCGACTGATAAAATAAATTGGTTTGTACAACTGCTAAGTAGTTT